TTTATCAGGAATAAATCATAAATTTGCGTTCCTAGCTTTTGGTTAGCAAAGTCATTGATGATGTCATCAAATTTCATTTTCCTGATGATGTCACATTCATTAATACATAATGGATTTTACATAAGAGACAGATTAGTCTGCCATTCTTGACACATGGTGTGCAGCCTACTTTTGATAAATTTCATTTTAGAAAACAATTTGTTCCACAAACAGTTTATTAACATTAGCACATGGTAAATACAGAGCGCAACCTCAACATTAGGGAACTTATCCTGCAACCTCAATATTAGGGAACTTATTTTCTACTCTTTTTCTTATTTGAAGACCACTCGAGAAAAAACTGCACAGTCACATTAAAAACGTTTTAAGAAAGTGTATACTGATCATCTATAAAAATCAATGTTTAAAATTTAAAAAAAAAAAATTTATTTTCAATTTAGAATAAAATTTAAATAAATAACCTAAATAGCAAACAATATTGGGGCGATATTGTCTACAATATTGGCGCAATATTATAAACTATATTGCGCCAATATTGCAATGTGAACATTCTGCCAATATTGGCGCTAAAATATTGCACCAATATTGTTAATTCAATATTGGCCAATATTCATGGTACAATGTTGCGCCAATATCGTAAAGTCAATATTAGCAAAATGTTCACATTGTAATATTGGCGCGATAATGTTTAAAATATTGCGCCAATATTGTAAATAATATCACGCCAATAATGGAGATATAATACTGGCCAATATTGGCGTAATATAATTTACAATATTATCCCGATATAACTATATTAAACAAATGTATTGAGTAATTTCGATTAAATTTTTATTATTAAAAAATAATAAAAAATATTGTCTTCTACAAATTTTTAATAATTAAAATTTATAACAGTTTTCTTGTTTAAATGATACTGTAGTGCTGCATTATTCTTTTGAGTTAAACAGGTTGTAGTCAAGGAGATGGCAATGACCATAGAACATGTTTTAAGAAAAAAAATTGTAAACCATTAAATTTATTTGAAGTTATATGAAACAGATACAAATGAAAAAAAGAGG